GGGGGCCGGCGCGCCGAGCCATGCCCCGGGCTGCCGGCGGTGGCCATGGGGCGGCACGGCGGCGGCGGCGGCGACAGCGGTAAGATCGTGATCAACGTGGGCGGCGTGCGCCATGAGACGTACCGCTCCACGCTGCGCACCCTGCCGGGGACCCGGCTGGCCGGGCTGACCGAGCCCGAGGCGGCCGCGCGCTTCGACTACGACCCGGGCACGGACGAGTTCTTCTTCGACCGCCACCCGGGCGTCTTCGCCTACGTGCTCAACTACTACCGCACCGGCAAGCTGCACTGCCCGGCCGACGTGTGCGGGCCGCTCTTCGAGGAGGAGCTGGGCTTCTGGGGCATCGACGAGACGGACGTGGAGGCCTGCTGCTGGATGACCTACCGCCAGCACCGCGACGCCGAGGAGGCTTTGGATTCCTTCGAGGCCCCCGATTCCTCGGGCGCTGCCAACTCCGCCAACGCCGGGGGCGCCCACGATGCGGGCCTTGACGACGAGGCGGGAGCAGGAGGCGGCGGCCTGGACGGGGCCGGCGGCGAACTCAAGCGTCTGTGCTTCCAGGACGCGGGCGGAGGCGCCGGGGGACCTACCGGGGGCGCGGGCGGCGCGGGTGGCACGTGGTGGCGGCGCTGGCAGCCTCGCGTGTGGGCGCTTTTCGAGGACCCCTACTCGTCGCGGGCCGCCAGGGTGAGCGCGCTCTCCGAGCACTTCTAACTATGCCAACCCCATCCCGAGGCCCCCTATTCCGCCCCCTCAGGACTCCCCCACCCCGGCCCCCCAGTCCTCTGGAAGTCCTTCCCCTCTGCGGCGGGAGTGCCCTGCGCCCCTGCGAAAACACCCCTCTTCTCCAGGCCACCCCTTTGGTTCTGCAAAGACACTGGGGCTTTCCAAACCCCAGCCCTGCTGCTCCAGGTCATAGATCCCGGGGAAAGGCTCCCTAACCGGAAATCTCCTGGACTTTCCTGACCAGCCCACCTTGCCCACACACCGTCTGAGACCGTTGGCAGGCCCCTAGAACGTCCTCGGCTTCTCCAAAATTCTCCTCTCCGTCCCTTGGACACCTCGAAGCCGCTTATTCAAGGTCCCCGACGTCCCAGGCCTTAGGAACACTCCCCATCTCTCCCTCTTTGGGCCCTCCCATGTTCTCCTGAGACCCAACTTCTAGATCGATCTCTCTCTCTCTCTCTCTCTCTCTCTCTCTCTCTCTCTGTCTCTCTGTACCTAACTTCGGGGCTCCTGGTTGTGGGTGACCTGCCCTTACCTCCCAGAGTTCTAAGAGATTCCTCCCCCCCCCCCCCCCCCGCCCGGAGTCCTCAGGGTCTTACTGAACCTCCAAACTACTGGTTCTAGTCAGGACAGTTTCCCCACAACCTCGCCACAACGCCGAGTGTGGTGGGGGGCGGTTCTTCCTAACTCCCCTCTCATTCCCCCTTCACCTTCTTCACCAGCCCCCTTCGAGGGCCTTCCCCCGTAGAACTCGGACTCCACTGAAGTGGGTCCCACCCCCGTCTCTCCAGAAGGGCCCCCTTGTCACACTTCTGCCTGGCACCAGTGTTGCCCCCCCCCCGACCCTGACCGTCGGCAGCACATCCCTCCCCTCCAGCTGCCTCCATTCCGCCCTCCACGGTTCCTTTCTCATTCTGCCAAGGGACTTTCAGAAGTTTGTGTCACCTCAAATGGAAACCTTTCTCTTGCTACCCACCCCCAAGTCATCGCCAAGAAACTTCTCAAAGTGGCTTCAGTTCCCACGCCACCGTGCCTTGGGAGAACTCAGCCCTCAGGGCTCTCCTCTCCCAGCCACCTACCTCCTCCTCACCCCTTCCCAAGCTCCTCCACCACCACTCCTGTTGGCCTCCTCTGATGTGCTCCCAGAACTCTCTCCGTTCCTTCCCTCTTTCTACCCTCTCCTCTCTTAGAAACCCCAGATTCCCTCAAAAATCTCTCCTGGAACGGTTTGTAAGCCTCAATAACTTCCCAGGCCTTCCGGAGACCCTCTTGATAGCTCTTAGCTTTTTCCTCTCCTTAAACTTCCTCCCTGCCGGGAGCCCCTGAAGCGAGGGTGTGGGAGGAAGTAGGGGTTAAGTTTAGGAAAAGAGGGAGCAGTAGCAAAAGTGGATAAGGGAGAGCCATTCTCTGCCCGCCCCCGCCCCCTACCGTGCAGCGTCCTGGGCCAGGAAGGACGCGGAGCCGCAGTGCCGCATTCGTGCCGTGGGGGGAGGGGGGATAGTCGGGGGGAGGGGAGAATGGCCCGGGGGGGGGGGGACCGGAGGCTTCGCATAAAGTTTAGTTCCTGCTGAATTGGCGACATTTGGGGTTGAATTGGGGGGAAGGGAAAAGGAAGAGGGGAAGGAGGGACATGGCCCCAGATGCACCTTCGGGCCTCTGAGCATCTCCTTCCCCGCTGGGCGGCCTGGGGCGTCCTTCCTTCCTTTGACCCCATTCAAGGGTGCTGAGGTTGAGATATGGAGTTTTTGGGTGATGCTACGAAAGTCACTCATTTACTTATTGCACATATTTTTTTAAAGTATTTGAAGATCTGCTGTTGCGGTACTTTCCAATCTCCAGGTGGACCTTCTTGCAAGTTGGGAGCGCAAAGCATGCCCTAGCTCAGGGTCCAGCCTTTCCAGCCCCGCTATTTCTTCTTCCAGAGCCTTGGTACCCTTGCCAGCCTCCTGTTTCAGAGTCTCTCCAAGGGAAACCAACCCTGCGCCTGTGCACTGCAGCGGCTGCCCACCCTTCCTCGGGCCCCTGGGAGGGAAGGGGTTACGCAAGTTATAGGCCAGTTGGCCGCGAGCCACGAAGCCAAAACCATAGGCACTGTGGCAGCCCGCCGGCTCGCTGTGCCTCAGCCTGGAAGGAGTTAAGGCAATCGGGGCACTGCGGCTGCGCACTGCGGGTGTGCGCGCGCTGGGGGTGGGGTGGGGTGAGCTGTCCGTGGTGCTGGCCTCCGCGCGCCCTCCTCCGAGCCGGGTCGGCCCGCCTCCACTGCAGTGCTGCAGCCTGCGGAGTTGGGGGGAAGGGGGACGGGGAGGCGCCGGGCATGCGCTCTGCAGCGTCCTCTGGCCTTTTCTCCACTGCTGAGAAGCTAAGTTGGTGATCTATACTACTGACCACTCTTTCAGCCTACCCTAAGGCCCAGGGCCTGCTTACCCCATTTATCGAACTCTGGACCACACTCTAGGTCCCTAAATTTGCCTCTTCAGAACACAACCCATCCCTATCCACAAGGCTTCCATTTCCTCTTCCCTCTCCTTAGCCTTAACCCAGTGAGGCCTTCCCTCTTCAGCTTCCCCACATTCCCGAACGGCCCCCAGGTCTCTTCAGCGGAATACTGACATTGTGGTCCTTAGATCCTAGCCCCCCTGACCCCCTCATCCTTGCCCCCAACTAACCGATCCACCGTACCCTAGTAACAGCTCAGCTCTCGCTGTGTTCCAGGCACTCAGCCAAGCACTGTATTTGGAAGCAAGCCCTCTGTACACTCACCAAATCTTCATAACAATTCCATTAAAAAACAAAATTCAGATTCAGAAAGCTTAACCCTTGCTCCAGTGTGACGAATTCAAACCCAGGCTTTTGAGCTGGACAGGTCTGTCAGCCCAGCTACTCAGGGGGCTGAGGCAGGGGAGTTGAAGTTTGAAGCTGGCCTGGTTAAATCAGAGACCCTGCCTCAGAATAAAAGTTAGAGGGAGGGGTGGGATGCCGCTCCGGGGCAGAGGGCTTGTCTAGCTTGCTAAGACTGCATGGGCTGCATCCCCAGCGCCACAGAGGTAAAGGCCTGTGTCCCCCCGCCCTCTCCCTTCCCCAGCTCCAAGCTGAACCCCAAACCTCTGACACACGGGTAGTGTGGTAGTCCCTCTCACTCCCATCCTCAAGGGGCACATTTGAATCCTCATCTGGAACCCAGAAAGCGCTTTTCCCTGGGTCCACTGTGGCAAACTCCTGCCCTGAGCCTGTGTTCCCTTCTCAGAATGGGTCGCCAGAAGCGGGGGAACTGTTAAGTGGGAACACAGGTTCTCATGGGATCTGGGTCCTGAGGTGGGGAACTAGAAGGTTCTTTAGATTCCAGTGATGCAAACATGTCGGTCACCGCCACTCTGTCTCCCGTCCTCCTGCAGTATGTGGCCTTCGCCTCCCTATTCTTCATCCTCATCTCCATCACCACTTTCTGCCTGGAAACACACGAGGGCTTCATCCACATCAGCAACAAGACGGTGACGCAAGCCTCCCCAATCCCTGGGGCTCCCCCCGAGAACATCACCAATGTGGAGGTGGAGACAGAACCTTTTCTGACCTACGTGGAAGGCGTGTGCGTGGTCTGGTTCACCTTTGAGTTTCTCATGCGTGTCACCTTCTGCCCAGATAAGGTGGAGTTCCTCAAAAGCAGCCTGAACATCATCGACTGTGTGGCCATCTTACCCTTCTACCTGGAGGTGGGCCTATCAGGTCTCAGCTCCAAAGCTGCCAAGGATGTGCTGGGCTTTCTGCGTGTCGTCCGCTTCGTTCGTATCCTTCGTATCTTCAAGCTGACACGTCACTTTGTGGGGCTGCGTGTGCTGGGCCACACGCTCCGGGCCAGCACCAACGAGTTCTTGTTACTCATTATCTTCCTGGCTCTGGGGGTCCTCATCTTTGCCACCATGATCTACTATGCTGAGCGCATCGGTGCCGACCCTGATGACATCCTGGGCTCCAACCACACCTACTTCAAGAACATCCCCATCGGCTTCTGGTGGGCTGTGGTCACCATGACCACCCTGGGCTACGGAGACATGTATCCCAAGACGTGGTCTGGGATGCTGGTTGGGGCGCTGTGTGCCCTAGCTGGCGTGCTGACCATTGCCATGCCCGTGCCCGTCATTGTCAACAACTTCGGCATGTACTATTCACTGGCTATGGCCAAGCAGAAATTGCCAAAGAAGAAAAACAAACATATCCCCAGGCCCCCGCAGCCTGGCTCACCCAACTACTGCAAGCCCGACCCCCCACCTCCACCCCCGCCACACCCCCACCACGGCAGCAGTGGCATCAGCCCACCACCGCCCATCACCCCTCCTTCCATGGGGATGAATGTGGCCGGGGCCTACCCACCTGGACCCCACACGCACCCTGGGCTGCTCAGGGGTGGTGCTGGGGGACTGGGCATCATGGGATTGCCTCCTCTGCCAGCCCCTGGTGAGCCCTGCCCACTGGCTCAAGAAGAGGTGATTGAAACCAACAGGGCAGGTGAGGCTGGGGCCAGGACTGGAGGTGTAGGGAGACCAGGGCGGGGAGGTGGCAAAACTGGAAGGGATGCAGGTTCAGGCAGAAGTGGAAGGCAATGGAGCAGACAGAAAGGACAAATGGCTAAAAAGCTGGAGCAGAGGCAGGAGGGGCCACAGGGACAGGATTCCATGTGCGAGAGAGTTTTGGAATGTGGAATTCAGCCAGGCTGCTCTGAGAAGCCTCAGGTCAGAGGCGGCATAGTGAAGGTGTCCGGAGAAAGAGACTCGGAAACCCAGATGTGGTGGTGCATGCCTCCCATCCCTTGGTGGTACTTGGTACAGGAGTTCAAACCTAGCCTGAGCTGCAAGTCAAAAGTCATGGGGGAGAAAATAGAAAGAGAAAGTGGCCGGCAGGTAGAGGGGCTTGGTGACACACCCCTATAATGCCAACATGGGGGAGGCCAAGGCAGGAGGGTCAACACGTGTTTGAAGCTATCCTGGGCTACATACATATAGAAACCATGTCTCAGGGAAACAAACAAAAAAAGGTTTTGGATGGCTCCCTGGACCATTAGTCCACTCCAGTTCTTAGGGACAGTTTCCTAAGAAAGAACTCCTATTTCTGTTTGAGAAGGCAAGGGAAGAGAAGGAGAGCGAGAAAGGAGAAAAAGGACCGAGAGCCAGGCATGGTGATGCATGCCTGTAATCCCAGGACTTAGGAGGAAGAGACAGTTTAAGGTCAGTCTGAGCTGCACGAGACCTTGTTCCAAAAAGAGTGGGGCTCAGTGTAAAACATGGGGAGTCTCACATGACTCCTAGGAAGGCTAGGGCCAGGCCCGGGCAGCACTATAGTACCTGACTGTGGCATAGTCCTGAGAGCCAGACCACAGTCGCTCTGTGCAGGTACCACAGTCACTCAAGAAGAGAAGGAGACCATTTGAGTCAGGCCATCAGCAGGATAGAGTGCTCAGGACCCACCTACAGGGAGGCAAAAGGGAGAAACCCAAAAGGGCCAGAGGGCAGGGTGCAGGACATCCAGGCAGGCTCTGCAGAGGTAGCATGAGAAACTGGAGATTTCCAGAGAGTTCTCGCTGAGACAAGAGGCAGCCAGATCTACTTGAGCACACCTGCTATCCCAGCATTTGGGAAGCTGAGGCAGAAGGATTATGAGTTCAAAGCCAGCCTGGATTATAGAGTGAGACTATCTCAAAAGAAAAAAAAAAAATTTTTTTTTTTCTTTAAATAAGGAGACAGGCCAGGAAAAGGAGGGAGGAGAAGAGAAAGCTGGTGGTTGTGCCTGATTTCAAGTGTCGTGTGTGTCCTGGGGGACTCTGTTTTTCGCAGGCAGTGACTTGGGTGTCGTGGAGGAAGGAGGTGAGCAACCCCCCACTGGGCCTTAAGTAGGTCAAGAAAATGAACTAGTCTGCCTGGCCCCCCATCTTGTTCCCTTAGCCACTGACCCAGTTTCCCATCCATTAAAAATAGCTCAAGTCAGAGCCTAGGGGACCCCCACCTCACCCTCCCTCACCTGTCACCTTCCCAGCCCTTCCCCATCCTGCCCTTTGCAGCACCCCACACTTGTCCCTAAGCAGCCGCTTCAAGACCCGTGACACGCTGCCTGTCCCCTGCCCACACTCAGCATCTTAACGCCAGTTGTGCCTAACACCCACCCTTTGTTTTTTTGGGGGGATGGCGGGGTGCAGAAATCTCATTCTGCAACCCAAGCTGGCTTCAAACTCAGAATCCTCCTGCCTCAGCCTCCTGGGTGATGGAATGACAAACATATACTACCAAGCCTGGTCCACAGTAGCCCCAGCCGCCCTCCCAGTCTCCAGTTCTGGACATTCAAACACTCACGTGAGACCCGACTGCCAGTTTCTTGCCTTCACTTCGCGCTTTAGCCAATCACTGTCCATGCCCTCAGTCCCATTTGCCTTCCCCACCTCTCAGCCTTTTCTCCGGAAACCTTGTACCCCATTTCCCTAGGATCATTCTTGAACCTCCCTCTCTCCAGTGCTCTTCACTGTCACCTTCTCCCTTCAGTTTTTGTCCTCTGTCTGTGACCTCTCACCTTGCAGTAGACCCCCGTCCCAATGGGGACCCCGCAGCAGCTGCACTGGCCCATGAGGACTGCCCCGCCATTGACCAGCCAGCCATGTCTCCGGAAGACAAGAGCCCCATCACTCCTGGAAGCCGGGGTCGCTACAGCCGGGACCGAGCCTGCTTCCTTGTCACTGACTATGCCCCTTCCCCTGATGGCTCCATCCGAAAAGGTGAGGTGCCCTCTAGGGCCTCCCCAGAGACCCTTCCTCTCTCCCCAGCCCAGGGGAGGGAGAGGAGGGGGTGGGGGAGGTGCCGGGTTCCCCTCCGATCTCATCAGCCCCAAACTGCCTTTTCCCCCCCTCCTCCCTCACCCTGAGCCCCATGTTTCCTCACCTGTCTTTATTTCATCTCCATCTCCCCCCCACCCCGCCCTGACTGTCTGGCCTCTTCCCTCATCCCAGCCACTGGTGCTCCCCCACTGCTCCCCCCATGCTGGCGTAAGCCAGCCCCCCCAAGCTTCTTGCCCGACCTCAACGCCAACGCAGCAGCCTGGATACCCCCCTAGTGGACGAGCCCCCTTCCCCCCAGGGTAAGTAGTTCCCCACCATGGCCGCCCGACTCCCCTTCCTTCTACACCTCTGACTAACCTCTGAGAACATGCTTTCCCACTGACTGAGACCCTCACCCATGGTAAACAGCCACACCCAGTCCCTGACACTGACCCCCACCGTCACCCCAGGATGTGCCTGGTCCTCACTAACACCCCAGAACTAACCCAACTCTGACCTCTGACCTGCTCACCCACATCCCCCTCCCCTGGTGTGCCCTCCCCTGTCTGCACCCCCTCTGGGAATTGTTTATGTAGTCAATGTGGGTTATGTACCTGATGCTCCTGAGTGCAGGGTGGAGTCAGGCAGGCTCCCTGATCTAGAGCTGGGATCAACCTAAGCAGATGCACTTCCCTGCGGGCTTTCTGGCAGCTGAGCAGAAAACAGACATATCAGAGGAGAGACGGGGGGCACAAGAACTAGGAAAGCAGGGCCATGCGAGGGGCCAGGAGATGGGATGAATGGAGCAGATCATGAGTCTGGAAGGAGCTGGGATGAAATCTAGGCACAAGAGGATAGAGACCTAGCTGGGAACCAGGTCTCAGAGGTGAAAGGAAAAGATGAAGAGTCAGAGGTCAAGGGTCAGCCAAGGATAGGAAAAGCCAGGCATGGTGGTCGTCACAGCACCTGGATACTGGGGTAGAGGGGTTGTGAGATCGAAGCTAGCCAGGACTGGAAAACAAGACCCTGCCACCCTAAATTTCATGTTGTTTTAGCCACTACACGCTGGGGTGGTTTGTTTCACCATAAAGAGGCAGCTGCTACATTGCCCCACCATGAGGAGGAAAGAACTTTTCTGGCAGCTCAGGTCCTCTTTGAACGCCCAGACAGGGCCTGTTCTCTTCATGTGGACAGTACTGTGATTGTGGGGAGGCACCACCACAGCCAACTTTGGGAAACATCTCTGAGAAAATGACATGAGACCTGAAAGGATGAAAAGGCTCAGTCACGCAGAAGAAAAGCATGACTGCAAAGGCTCACAGAGTGCTGAAAGGACTGTTTAAAAAGAAAAAGAAAAGGAAGGGACTGGGTTTGTACCTTGGCCTTAGAGCCCCTGCCTAGAATCCCAGGGGAGGGATGTGGCTCTGTAGTAGAGCATCTGCTTAGCATTTCCTGAGTTCTACTTCCCATACTGTAGAAAAAGAAGAAGGGATGGGCTGACTGAACCGGGGAAAGAGGACAGAGAGCTTCCGGGTAGAAGGCTCGGTTCTGGACAGGGCAATTGATGGGAAGTTGCCTGAAGGTGTCTGATCTACTTCTAGAAACACCACAGCACCTTTAGGAATTCAAACACAGCTATATCCCAGCACTCGAGGAGGCAGAGGCAGGCCTGTTGCTGTGAGTTTGAGGCCAGCCTAGTCTACAAAGTGAGTCCAGGACAGCCAAGGCTACACAGAGAAACCCTGTCTCAAAAAAACAAAACTAAACAAACAAGAAGAAATTCAAATACATGAAGAATCAATCCCTGCTCTCAGCCCAACACAGTGCTATATTGAGAAGTCTCAGGAAAAGCCTAATGAACTGCCATGTTCCACAGAGTTCCCAGGGAAGCAGACAGCCCGGAGGACTCCTGTGCCTCTCCCTTCCATGTCCCTCTTACACCCTCTCCCATCACCTTCCATGTCCATCTCATCACTCCTTCCCTCCTTCCCATCTCACCCCCCCTCGCTTGAACCTAGACCTCTACCCCTCACCCCTAGGTTGAGGGATTGCTGGGAGGGTGGAGGGTAAAATGGAGTGTGTGGGGAAGGCCGGGGATCCCAGTTGGGTGGACAAGGCCCTTGCTTTTCTTGCATATGATACCAAAATCCATTCATTTTTGAACTCAAATGATGGCTGGAGCTGATGGGGCTGACTGAATTCTCTGCCCCAGTGTTGTCCAGTCCTGTCCTCTACCCCCTCTGACCCAATATCTTCCCTCTTTCCTGGCCTGTCCCCACTCATGCCTGACCTCTTGATTCACATACCCAACCCCATTCCTCCCACCCTCCGCCCCCCCCCCTTCCCCAGCCACCCAGGAAGCTCCTGCCATATTTGATGTCTCTGGCTGCCCCCATTTCACCGCTCCCATCACCCCCGGAAAACACCAGAGAGGAGGAAGACATCCCGGCGTTTCTCCGTCCCCCCAACAGTGAGCCTGTGTTGGGGAGCCCCCATCTGCCTCCCATCCCCCATCCTTGACTCTCTGTATTTCTGTCCCCAGCTCTTGTCACCGCCTGAGACCTCGAGAGACCCTCGGGTTCCCCCTGTCCCTTCCCCCCAGGTTAGCAACTGGGAATGGTGGGAGGGAGTGTCCCAGAGACACTGGGCTTCTGGTCCCCGCCCCTAGGCACTCTCCTGCGGTCAGAGTACCACCTCCCAGCCTGGGAAGCTTAGAAAAACCATCCCAGTCCCTGGTGCTAGCAGAGACAAAAACAAAAACAGAAACCCACCCACCCACACTGGTTCTGACTCGGATCCCTTGAGCTGTGTGACCTTACTGCTTAATTCCTGTCACCAGCAGATCCCAACCAATTTTTTAATCCTCCACCTCATCCCATGTCCTGGACTTTTTAAAAATGTCCATGCTGAATGTAATGACTCAAGCCTCTCAGTCCAAGGCTACCTACCTACTGAATTTGAAGTCAGCCTGGGCTAAATAGTGAGTTTGAGGCCAGCTTGGGCTATATAGTGAGGTTGAGTCCAGCCTAAGCTATATAGAATGTTAGTCTAGACCAGCCTGAGCTATATACTGAGATTGAGGTCAGTCTGGGCTACACAGTGAGCTCTTATCACAAGGTCCCAAGAAATTCCCTCCCCACTTCCTGCACCAGGCCCCAGCTCCCCCCTGCGCAGCCCTCTCCACCAGCTGCCTTCACCCCAGCCCCTGCCGCCCACCATCCCACCTCGCCAACTGCTGCCTTTGGGCCTCAGACCATGGGTCCTTGGAGAGGGGGAGGAGAGGGGCGGGCGGGCCTCTCTGCTGGGCATGCTGGGTGGGGAGGCTCCATGGGCACCAGCCGCCTCCTAATCCTGTCTCTCCTCTTCCCTGTGTCTGCACCTTTCTTGTGGATGCTGACTGACTCTCTGATCTCTTCACCTCTCTCTCCATCTCCTTGGCCCGCCCATCCCACCTATCTCCTTGTCTCTCGGCATCTCCGGCCTCTCCATCTCTCTGTGTGCCTCTGTGTCCTTGTTTGGGCTCTCTGTCGCATCTTCACTCCCGGCTCCCATCCCCACGCCTGTCCCACCCTTGTCTCTGCTCCTTCCCCAGGTTACGAGAAGTCCCGCAGCCTGAGCAGCATTGTGGGCCTGAGTGGGGTGTCCCTGCGTCTCGCGCCCCTCGCCACGCCCCCTGGCTCACCCCGGGCCACGCGCCGAGCTCCCCCGACCCTCCCCTCCATCCTCTAGTGCTTCCCGAACCCCTGTGGGAGGACTGGGGGTGATGGGAAGGTCGAAAGGAGTTGGGAGTGGGGGAAAGGGTTTTTTGTTTTTTTTTTAAGTTATTAATAATATGCAAAAGAGAAGGTGATGCCAGCAGACGCCCCCGGGGCCTCTCACTCCCCACATACTAGAGCCCCCACGATAGAGGGGGCGGGGCTGGAGCCTGTCCCCCCCCCCCCCACCCCCCCCCCCCTTCCAAAAAAAAAAAAAAAGCAAACCTCAGGTCTCCATGAGCCATAGGACACCCTTCCCATCGACCCCTGTAAATAACTAAAAGCTGATTCCATCTTGGGGCACCCACTCCACTTTGCATGCCTCCCCGACCCCTCTTCAGCAATAAGCCGCCAGGAGCTGCCTGCAGAGTTGGAGGGGAGGCCGCTGGGAGCTTCTGGGGTAGGAGCTGACATTTTAGGGGTCTTCCTGATCACCCTCCAAAAGGGCGACCCACACATCACTAATCGATTCAGGAAAAAAAAAAATACAAAAACAAACAAAAAAACACAAACCTCTAGGAACAAGTAGGGAAAGGAGGACTGGTTAATCAGCCGCAGCCTTGAGGAGCTCAGCTTGGGGGTGGGGGCTCTGCCAGCTGCTCCCGGGCTCTGAGGACGCCAGCTGGTGCATTCCACCCACGCCCGCCTCCGGGGATCTGCTCCCTCTATTCGCTGCATGGACTTGGCCCTCCAGGCCCAGAGCCCTCCACCCCACCCCGTCCCCACTGTATCCCAGGACGTGAGACTAGCACCCTAGACTTACACGGGTTTAGACCCTGGCACCCTGCACCCCCATGCCCCGTGCACTCCGGCGCCCCACGCTCCCCACTTCCATCACTCCATTTATCCTTCCCTGGCCTGGACTGCGCCGCGGTGTTCTTCCCTCCTTCCCTTGCACTCCAGCTCACTTTCAGTCTTTTGGGGTCCCGACAGTCCTCGTGACCCTGCCATTGCCTGGACGCCCCCCTCTCCCCCCCCCCCCCCCCCCCGCACCCTAGACGGCCCCAACCCCCTGACATCACATTCCGCTGTCCCCAGGCGCCTCTGACTCAAGACCTTCCCAGACGGGGTCGGTCTGGTGCCAGGGAGCTCCCACCAACCCCAGCATCGCCGTCTAGGCAGCCCCCTCCTCAAGCACTTCAACCCCGCGCCCCCTATGGTGCCAAAACACATTTCTTCCCGGCCACCAGAGTTTGCCAGAGCGTGGGACTTCCGTTCCCTCTTGGTGTGCCGAAGTTTGCAGAGTGCACGGGTGTTTTAGACTTGTGCGCTCGTCGCAGGCTCGCTCTGGGCTGGTGCGTCCCGGCAGCGCAGCGGTGGGGTGTCGCCACTGAAGGCAAATCAAGGATGGGATGGGACCCGCTTGCCTAATCTACTAGAGTCGCAGGGTTCAATCTCCGGCAACCCCTCTTGCCCACGTGGTGGGAAGAGGACACGCCTTCCTCGGCTAGGATCTCAGCCTGCCCTTCCCAGCGTTCCTTGCCCACCACGTGCCACGTTCGCGGGTGGATAACTTTCTCAAATCCCGTCTTGGCTCCAAGATGCTACCTCCCCCAAGCCCAGAGACCACACCGGTCCCAGAATCCTTAGCGAACTCCCCCTTTGGAGCTCGGTGGTCCGCAGAATTAGCAATCCCTTGTTCCCACAGCCTCAGGGAAACCTCCCGCTGTCACCGGAGTGTCGGTGGAGGTGTCCTTGGGCCCAATTCTTGATGCAACGATTCCTATGCAAGGGGCATTGAGTCCCCCCTCCCCCCGCCGCCTTCCCTCGGGACGGGTGGGATCTGGTAGGGGCAAGGCAAAGGGCTAGGGGACTCCAGACGCCAGGGTATGAGGTGAGGACTCCTAACATTGCCAAAGGGTTCAACTTATTTAAACAGCCCCTATTATCCCCACCCCGTCCCTCGAAAGAGACGAGTGGGGCGGGGAAAGGCGGTAAGAGTCCTTCTGAAGGGTACTAACCACTCCCACTGTCTCCCCCTGCTCTCCACTTCCCCACACATACCCAGCTTTTTAGTTAAGCTTTTGAAAAAGCTGCCATCATTGTAAACCTCTACAAAACGTGATTTTTGCCCCTTTCCACATCTCCCAATTTACCAAACAGTGTGGGATTCGGGGAGGGAGAGCCAGGTCTGGCCTCCCTTTTCCCCACGGCCGCCAGGGTGCCTGCAACTGCACGCATGCGCTGCATGACGCGCCCCCACACACACAAGCATGCGTCGCGCACCCCTCCTGCGCTGGGGAGGGAAGCACGGACTTGGGGCTGGGGGCGGGGCGATGGGGAGGAACGATTGGTAGAGGGGAAGGGGGTCTTCCTGAGCTCAACGGCTCCCCTCCTTCCTCACACACTCACAGCAATAAGTATATCTACTCCTAGACAGCGGACGGGCCTGGCCTGGCCTGGCGCGGGAGGGGCTGGCCAAGGGGCGCTCTCAGGGATGGGGGCGGGTCCTGAGTCTGGGGGAGGGGAGGTCTGCAACTCTGGTGCTAATGGCGGGTCTTTCTGGCCCACCCGCAGGCAGGGAGGGAGGAGTCGGCAGGCTCCTCCCCCAAGCCTCCCCCACGCCCACCCAGGGTGCATGAACCACCCACGCAGAAGCTGCCGCATGTCAACCCTCCCCCCCAAAAGAAACAGTGTCATGCCCCTCCCCACCCTCCCTCCCACTCCCCTGCCCAATAAATGATTCCTTTTCATTTAGAAGTGGCTTTTCTGATTTAGGTTTGGGGTGCACAGAGAAAAATTAAAGTGTGGGCTAGATGGTGCTGGCCTGCCAGCCCTCTCAAGAGGTTAAGGCAAGGCGGGGGAAACAGAAAAAAAAAAAAAAAGTAAAGGGCGGTGGGAACAATGTTTCCCAGAATACTCCAGTGAGAAGCCGGGGTCCTGGCTCAGCAGCTGCGAGGCTGCCTAGCCTCAGGCAAGCTCTGGGTTCATGCTCCAGTACGACAAAAAACTAACGAAAAGGTTACAAAAGTGGCAGAGGTAGCTAAGGAGCTGGATCAGCATGACTCCAGTCCCAAACCCAGGTGAAAGCTGAGCGTGGCAGAGTGGGCCTGTAATCAAAGCACCGAGGAAGTGGACATATGTGAATCCCAACTTAGGCAACTGGCGATGGGTTTCAGCTGCAGGCCCTGTCTGAAAAAAAAAAAATCGTGTAGAAATCTGGAGGGATGGCTCAGCCATTAAGAGCTCTTGCTGGTCTTGCAGAGGACTGAGTCCTGTTCTCAGCACCCAGTAACTCCAGCTCTAGGGGACCTGATCTTTTGGCCTGCCTTGGTTTCCTTGGTGGCAAACATGAACAGCCCTCTTAAGGAGAGCGCTGAGCTTGGGGACTTGAGCCCTAGGACAAAGGGAGAGTGTCCTGTGTATGCAAAGGTGGATGTCTTCCCTTGTGGATTACCAACCCTGAAGCCAAGCCAGATTGTGGGGTTTAGAACCTGGTTAGGTCTTTCTGTGTGTCCTGAGACTGGTAGCTCAGCCTGTCTGAGCTTATTTCTACCACTCTGAAAGGGCTAGAAAGATGTACTTACTCTCTTGGCAATGCTCAAAGACGCCGAGGAGACAAAGGTTTGCCTAGCGTAGAGTGGGCGGTTTATACTTTCTAGTGTACAGTAAACACCTGGCCATTAGGGAGGATCTCACCTATTACAGAAGCTGAGTAAGCCCCTCGCGCTCTGGTCCCCAGTTAGGAACACAGCCATGGTGAAGGGTCCAGCCAGTTTATTTCTTCGGCGCCTGGAGCATGAGGGACCTGAGCACTGACCTCTGAGAACACAGACCCTCCCCCCATAAAAGAAGGCAGTACACTGGGAGGGGACGGAGGTGCCCTGCCTGCCCTCTGCAGGAGCAGGTCCCTGCTATCCATTCTCATTCCGTCCCCCTGACAGGAACGACCGTCCTGGCCTCCCTCCCGCCTGGCTCCTTGGTTTGGGGCCTTGATTCGAAGTCCCCAGTGGGCAAGGGTCTTGGGGTCTCAGTAGGGTTCATCAATGCCAGAGGGCTTCGTCATTTCAAAGTGCAAACCGGGAGGGTCACTGGGACAGGCTCTGTCCCTGGAACTTCTAGGACACACTGGGTCACTGGGGTGTGGCAGGGGGCGGAGCCTCAGGCTCCTGGGGTGGTGCAGACCCAGGCTCTGCCCCCTCAGCCTCCTCTTCGTCAGAAGCCACGCCCTCCTCCAGCCTGAACACCTGGCGCACGGTGCGCGTGGTGAAGGTGAGCGGGCCACGCCTGTGGGAGGAGAACGCTCAAGTGAGACAGATAGGGACAAGGATGCAGACAGAGATGAGAACACAGACGCAGAAAGAGGAAAGATGGGTACATGTAAAGCTGCGACCAAACGCTGGTAAACGGGCAAACAGCAGCAGAGGGCACCCGAGCAAGACTGAAAAGTGCAGGAGGACAGGAAGGCCGCAGCCTCCTCCCCACCCCAGAGCCCCTTCCCAATGCTGGCCACGCAGGCCAGGTCCTGCTCTCCTCTCCCGGGTGGTACCAGCATGTGGATGGCTTACCGGAGCCTGTTCCTCAGCGTGGTCACCTCCCGGTTCATGGATTCCGCCGACTCTGTGACGTCCTCCAGCTCGCGCTGCAGCCGCCTCCGGCCGGCCTGTGCCCGGGAGGCTTCTTCTTCTGCCTCCTCCAGCTGCCTCTTGAGCTGCTTCAGCCGGAGGTTGCTTTTCTCCAGCTGAGGGGAGGGGGACCGTGTCATTCCTACGGTGTCCTCCAGAGCCTATTGCCACATGCTCTGCACCCCTCACACTAGCCTCTATCCTGCCTCAGCCTCTCCTTTGCAAGGCCGGGTCATCTTGGGCTGCAGCAGCTGTGGTGGCCTACTGAGACCTTCACAATTATGGTAACAAAATACGCAGAAGACAGCTGGGTGTTGGGCAACAGTGAAGGGGCGGTTAGTCTACAACAGCAGAGAAAGCCAGCCCTCCCTGTGAGGTCTCCTGCCACACCACACCCTATCCTATGGCCTGTGGTCTTTGGGACGCAAGGTCATATAGGAAGCAGGTGGGAACTGAGAGGCTTGGGCCTCTGGAGCTACAGTGTTTGCGAGCCATTATTCATGCTGGGATGTGTTGTCTTTTGTTTGTCTGGGTTGTTTGTGTTGTCTTTTGTTTGTTTGGGTTTTTGTTTGTTTTGTTTTTTTACTTTTCTTGTTGGTTTTCTGTTTTTGTTTTGCTGAATCCCCCGAGTTCCTGTAAGTGACCCCAATAAACTCACTGGCTCGCCACACTGGCCTGGTGGAATTGGTTCCTTTGCCTGTCATGGCCCTGTCTGGTATAAACATGCTGCTCCTTGGAATCG